AATATACTAATAGACCGTTTAATTTTAAATTTTCACAACGAATAGTTAATTGTTGAGAACTACGTCTCGGCTACTTTCCGAAACTCGAGTACACTCTTGGACATTAAACTATTTTTATTTATTTTATGGCACAAGCGATTGTTCTTAAAAATAGTCTTAAAAAATTTACAAATTCGCATAACCTAGTCGACTGAGCCACAAGTCATTCCTATGCATGACAATTAATACCGTAGTAATATTTTGATGAATCGCAAAAAGTACGCTAAAACTGTACAGACAACAACACAGCTAATCGGTTTGTACAGTAGACATGTATTGGTTTCATCGTAAATCGATGAATAAAATAATATAAGTATAATCGCCGTTTAGCAAAACGTTTCGGACGAGGTAATGTATTATTATTTCAATTTACCCCACAAATTTCGTGTTATTGACCGTTTCAACAATATATTATACATTATACTCCAATACACGACTATAATTATATATCTAATGTCCGTCAACGTATCTTGATTTGATTTTGCATTAGTTTAATTTTTTTTTAAATAATACCTATAACAAACAGTAAAAGAAAAAAAAAATAAACATTAGTTGATTTATCATACTCAGATACTGGTTGTCTCATAATTAATATTGAATATTTTTTTCTATCTTCTTAGCAAGCAGTTATAGTAAACTTAACTAGTAAGCAGTGTAATTAAGAATACGTTTTTAATTTTTGTTTCGGACTCCAATAGAAATCGCTTGGTGATCACATGGACTCCAGTTGAACGAGGTCTAATATCATGGGAATGAGTTATTGTTTTAGTTACATTAAATTAAAACAATGTAAATTCTATCTTTGAATTCATACACGTATTTACTTAATGCGATTAACTGCGCTACAGATTTTAATTTTTGATATTATTCATTTCTACGAACAAAATATAATTAGATATGCGACTTGAAAATCAAAGGAAATACATTTAATGCGATAAAACTTTAATTGTTTTAAAATGATTTATAAACATAATTTAAAGGAGTACTTGGAGTACATAATGTACGAAACCAAATTGCTTGTTCGAGTTTTTATCTGAACGCGATCGACGATCACCGCGATCCGCACACTGTTACAACTGTTAGGCGCAAGAGTTCACAACGGAGACATTTGCAAGGTATCCGGCCAAAATAGCAATGAAAATAACCGTGAATATAAAAATTGCGAATTAATAATGGCCAAAATAGAAACAGTGAATTTTAAAAGAGCGAAAATATATAATAGCAAAAATATACGATTTAGTGATAATAATTTTGAATAAACAATTAGGCTTTTAGTGAAAAATTGCTATATAATTTACAAAGTTCTTATCATCATTATAATTTGTAGTTAACGAATGAAGTCTTTTAGCACTCTTTTAGTCCTTGTACTTTTTTTATCTCTGATTGTTCTACAGAACTATATTATTCTCGTATTAATTCTTCTAAATTTCGAATTTTCATTATTACATCAATAAATTTCCATATAGTAGAGTGGCTTTCTGCTAAAGAATATTTATTATGTTATTAAAAGTACTAATTATTAATAAAATAGGTTATAGTTGTACAGTTTTATAAGTTTTGAAACTTATCCAAATACTATATTAAAATTTATAGTATTCAAAATAGAAATGATAAAAAACTGCAGTTTCGCTATCATGTATGATTGCTTATTTTCATTTCCGCTACTATCAATTCGCGATTAGTTGTTTCGCTATTTTGGCCTAAAACCATTTGCACGAGTCGTTTACGCCGCTGAATGGATTAAATTAGGGTGGTCCAACCTTTTATGGTACGCGGGCTAATTTATACTTTCTTAAACACACAGGGGACTGCCAGAAGAAAACAAATTATATTTTGTATATTTATATTTTATTTTATAATTTTACATTATGCACACGGGTGCACGAATAAACTGGCTCGACTGGTTAATGATTACTGAATAGGTTTAGTTTAGAGAAATATTTAATGCTCACAATTGTGAATAGAATTCACGCCGTCCATCGCGTCTTATTATGGAAATTCCCGTCATATTCCTACGTTTTATAGCGTAAACGCCATAAACTATAAATATAAAATGTTAAATTTATACGATCATATCACGATTTTGTTAAAATATTATTGTGAATTTAATTTTTAATTAATAAAATAAATAATTAACCTGAGTGGGGGGGGGGGGGGCAAAAAAAGGTATCGAGGACCGCGGGTTGGACCACTCTAGATTAAATAGTATCGTGCACCTATTCACAGAGTGAGCACAAAGAAAGGAGAGAAAATGACGATTTTTTGCTCAGGACAGTACATTATCATTACAATGCAAGCTCATGGGCATTTATATATTCACTCTCCCTCTCACTCTCTCTCTCGCCCTCTGTCATCAGTTTCCATGGCGTGCGTTTCGAGAACGCGGAGTAGGGTATTCCTGTCAAAAGCAAGGTGTACCGCTGAACAATTTCGCGCTCCCTCCGCAAAACGGTGTGTTTCTCCAAAAGTCCACGAGTACGTGTCCTCAACACCGCGTTTCAGCGAACCTCGTCCCGTACGAAAAAATAAAAATAAAAAACCAAAATAATAATCAATTTCTGTTGCGTACGACACTTTTCCGGACGGAGTCCACGACGTTTTCGGTCAAATCAATCGTCCCCCGCATGAGGGCCGAGTTCGACTCGACTTTTCGCTATAACTGATCCCTTCCTCCCGCCAACTGTACGTACCAGCCGTGTAATCGGTCCACCCTTGAAAGAAAACAGCGCCCGCGTGAATAACATCACGTCGCGTTTTCCAAATGTCATGTGAGCGTTACCCGTTTTCTCGGCAACGGATTGGTCATCGGTAATGGCTAGGGACAGGGGTCGTGAAATCATGGAAACGATCATTTGTTTGAACGACCCGCGATGAAATTGGAAAAATTTTCATTTTATCGTTTTTTATTTTTTTTATGACATCATATAATCGAACGTTTGTATTAACAGGCCTGTGCACGACCACTCTGTATGAAAATCATTATAAAAAATAATTATTATAATCAAAACTTGCACAGGTTGCAAACAGGCTGAATAACTAACTTAACAACTATTAACTAAGTTACTCTAAAAGCAATTATATATTTATTTTGATTTAATTTAATCAGAAGAGACAAGTCGGGTCTGTGGTATGGATGGATGGGCAATCCGTGATAGAATGTTTGGAAACACCGCAATGACTGCAACGGAATCGCTGCGACAGAATTTTTGGGTGTGCCCATAACGTAGGCATCTATTACATTGTACCGGAGAGTGAATGCTTGGATGGACGTCGAAGATCATATTGTAGACCGAAATATATTGAGGTAGTTTAGGAGACAAAAATTTGAGTTCAACGATGCGTGTGGGAACTATATTACCATCTTTTTTGATCGATATACGTTTGAAGCTTACGATTGGGAAAGATGATTGAACACCGTCGAGGAAATCAAACTCTGAGACGTCTGAATCGAGTTTAATGATACCAAAAGAGTACATGAGGTTCGAAGGAATATTAGCTGTAAAGCTATGTTCGCTTAAAACATCGGAAGTCAAACAGAGATTACCATTCGAAATCGAGTCGAAGATATTCTAAACTTTTTTTTTGCGCTGGTAGGTTTGATGTTGATTATACCGGTGAAATTAGTGGAGAAAAATTTGGTTGCTTTAATCGGATGCCAATTACCTAAATTTTTATTAACATCGGTGCATTCAATAAGTATCATGACGGGACCGTTATAATCAGCAGTGAAGGTCTGTTGTGTAGATTGAGACGACATAATAATATCATTTTGGTTATCAGTGGAATACGTAGTATTAGTAATTGGCGTTGAAGTCGCACCGGATCCGGAGCGCGATGTAGGATCATTAAAATTATCAGAAGATAAGCTGTTGTTAATGGTCGAGTCATGCGACGTACTTTTTTCGTAGATAAGAGATTATCATAATCGAAGGCCGAAGTATTTAACATCGGAGTGTTGTTTAAAATTTGTTGAAATTCAGGGGATTTAGGTGAGAGTGAGTTGGCTTTTGACTTACGTACATTTTTTTTTGAGATGACAGGTGTATAGCTGAGGTCAGGCGCACGAATAGAAGGCAAAATAGATTTTACTTTGTTTGGAGCAGGTGATTTACCCGACCGCGAGTCGTCGCCCGAAGACGACGACATATGAAGGTAATTAAAATACACTAATGAGATAGATACAATAAATATAAATAATAGCTGCGATTAGAGTAGACGGAGGAACCCAACCGAACACAACGACAACTGAAACGCGAATGATAAATATAATATATATAATATAAAATATAATAAAATAATTTATATTAATAATTGTATTAATATTATTATTATTATTATTATTATTAAAAAAATGTTAAAAGTTCATGTAACACAATCACATTGATCACGCAGTTAACTATTCGTGTTCGAGAATAAACTGGTATACAAATTGTGTCCGACATGTTGGACTGCATGCAAGTTTGAGCATGCAAGAACTTGTATGCGTATTATCAGCGTTCACATTTGTTCAATTTAGTTCTTGCACGAGTAAAAATAAGCATGCGGGAAAAAGCATACAAAAAATTGCAATAGTGTGAACCCGGTATTATAGTGACGGTCGGCAGAACGGAAAGCAATTAGGCTACAAAATTATTTTAACCCTATTTTATGGAATTACCTAACGCGGGTCTAATTAAATAAAACTATATAGTGTCGTTGCGGTCGATCTGCGTAGATTGTAGATACTCTGAATTTTATTATTTACATACCTATATATTTAACAATTTATTATTTTCCGTTAATATCATAATTTCACAACAATTATTATGATATTATATAATATATTTTATATGTCATTGCAGTTTAATATATCCAAACGTAAACTTGACATATTATATTATAAATAATTAAATAAATATAAAACCGTTTTTGAATTTTTAATAAATATAATTATTATAGAAATATAATGGAGCTGCGGTTTATCAAAATTTGAGTACACAATGATGACAACATGTTCTAACAGGAATGTTAGTCCACGCTGAATTATACTCGATAATATCCGCAGTCGTGAAATTCTGGAAACATGGTGCCTATAAAAGAAAAAAAAATTAATGCATTTTTTCAAACATTCTTATAGTAGAAAATAAAAGAAATTAATAAATCCAGACACGGAGAAAATTCCGCAAGTTATCGGTAAGTATTTAGCCGTATATACTTTTTGGATAAATCGACATTTAAAGAACAATGCTAATATAATTCGAGTAATATCATAATTCCACTGTACTGTAGAAATGTTTAGTATAATATTTACCGACAACGGTTGCCACAAAGCGTCTTCTTTTTCTTCGCTGGTCATGGAGATGAACGAGTCAACGTCGGAATCGGGACAAATCTAATTTAAAATTGAAAAACAAAATGTATTTTTTTTTTTTATATATACATATACTGTATATTTTTTTTGTACATATTTTTCGTCATATTCGTACCCGATGAACGTATAAATTATTTACACAATACATTATCGTATCGAAAAACGTTAGAAATGTGTTGAAAAACTATGAAAATTATAGACGCTCATGTAATAGACCCAAAATCAAATGAAATGAAATCGACTTCGCTTATGGATGTAAGAATAATATTATATTAATGCGTACAATGTCCTCAGGTCCGTGTTCCTCGCATTTCTGCAAACTGTTCACCCAATCGCGGCAGTTCCTTTCTTGCGTCGTCACATCGTCGTCGGATAATATCTGTTAAATTACGATTTTAATCAGATGTACAATGCATTTTGGAAACGATTTTTATCACTCATATCGCTTTTTCGAACAGTGAAAAATATGTTACGATTGTTGAATAGAAAACTACATGATTATACGCGTTCGCGTTACGTTAATGATAAATTTGATAATGTTTCAAATGAATATATAGCTTTTTATAAAAAAAAAAAAGAAAATTGTATGAGTAATAATACCGAAAAATATTCTTCCGAACCATATATATATGTATCAGGTATGTAGATCACAGTGGGCGCACACACACACACGAAAAAAAAAAAAATAAAAAATAATATTCTAAAATGAACGTACTCGAGTGGTAGAGGTAATCGATTGTTTTTGCGACTTCGACGGACGAGCGGAAACGTTCCTGCGCCCCGCGTTCCGGTTGACGCGTGCCTGGCTACGGACGGGTCCGATAGCCGTAGGGCGTGAATCGACGGTCGGTTGATGGTTAACGGTGGCCGTAGAAGCAGTGCTCGTCTGTCCACGGTCGGATCCGACGGCCACGGGGCGCAGATCGGCAGGCGGCGGAGGAGGCTCTGCGGCCAGCGTAGCAATCACGGAGGCATACGTGTCCCTCCATCCTTGCTCATACATGGCCCACATAACTTCGTCAGCCCTAAGACGTTCGATGTCCATACTGGCGATATCGGATACGGTCAACGGTGATGGCGGCGTCGAACGCGAAGGTCCGTCGCTCGCGATCGTTCTTCTTTCTTCGGTCATCTTGAATTCTAGTACAATTTGATCGATGAAAAACAATGTTCGTGACGGTGTCAGAAACGGTTGTGAGCTAATTCGAAAGCTTTTCCAAATACTCGGATTCCCGTCGTCAATTGGCAACCAGATAAATATACGTTCCGTTAGAGTAATGATGGCCAGCATCGAAAACGACAACAAAACCAGTACCGTTTGTAATTACAATTTCGATATCAAGTATTAAGCTATTTCGCTGATTTCTCCATTTACTCCATTTATTGTTTAGCGTGGCTGTAATGCATCGATTCCGTAGCATAGAAGTTATTATTTGTACTAGGTGCCAGTCATTTGCATACTTATATATCTCTTTTAGTATTAGATTGTGATTCACCGTAAGTCTACAAGAACCACCCCTGTAATTTTTTTGTTCCCATAACCATCCTCAATGTGCTGACATAAGTTTATTACGATTTAATTATTATTTATTATTTAAACGATTTAATTTGTTCCCATTAGTCAATCAGTCTATTAATTTTATAGTCACGTCAAGTCAACGTTTCTAACCTGCTTAACTTGTGAAATGTACAGGTTAATAAAAACGAACAGTTACTTTCGACTGTAAACCTAACCTAGATCAACTTCACCGGACGAGTTAAGAAAAAAAAATCGGTAAACTTGTGCCCAGAACACGGGGAATACGCGAAACGGTGAACGCGACTAATTATTTAATCAACGGTTAGCCAAACGCGCGAACATGCGTACACCGTCGAAACGCATTTCCATCTCGCGGCGTCGTGCGAATGAATCATAATACGGTTCGCTGCGAATTTCGGGTTACCCGGGTAGTACTTTCTAAACGCGCAGTTAAACACGACGTACGCTGTGTATACAGCGCGTGCATATCATTTTATCGAATACACGGCCGACCGACGATTTCAATTACGTTATTATCACCTCGAACGTCGAACCACGCGCGCCCGTCTCCTCCGCGGGCGGTTCCCGTTAAATTTATGTATTTTAATTATTATTAACACCGCACGATTTATGGCCCGTCCGACCGTTAATATTATTACGCCGCGCGCACTACCGCGGTGCCGCGCACAGTGCCGGGACGCGTTAAAACTAAACACCGTTCGATCAACGAGCGAAAGAATAGGTGGAGAAAAAAATAAATACATTTCAAAAATCAAATCGACCCTTGGGCAACACCACGCGATACGAATGAAAAATAAATCAAATAACTGTGCACACATTATACGGTATTACACGTCGCTCGCGGGCCGAATGGAAAATAAACATATTTTTTAATGAACCCGTAACGGACGACCAGCTGCACAGATCGGTTTCAAGACGTGACGTGCCGCTATAGGTGTTTCGCCACAGCCACCTCCGGGAGAGTTCGATTTCCGGAATAAAAAACCACTATCTCAAATGTACCGTTTATACTTGTCATCCCGTCGTGGTCCGTCTGGTCACGGGGAATTTTCATGACACGTTTTGTCCACAGTGTTTTGCGCCCGCGGTAGTCCCATAAAGTGACGGTAATACGTTTTCTGAAAACTAGCAACGGCCGACGGTCTATCTGGCGGATCAGTAGCGGTCCGTGGTTCTCAGTGGTTGAGAAGGCTCGAATTTGCCGGGTTGGATTCCGTTTTCGAAACGTTCGTGGCGAAATCCGAAATTTTTGCCCAAGTATCGTGGGCTCAACCAGGGCCGTTCAGAAGGGAACTGGACCATTTTTCCCCAGGCCCCATTATTGACATTTTTTTCAGGGGCCCCATAAAGTCTTAATGTATAATTATTAATAATAAAGCCTCGATTACACTAAGCAATTGTACACGCTGCGTGTTGGTGATTAAAGTCGCGCGCGTGTGAGCGTGTAGCGACTTGTCCGATTACATTGAGCGATTAAACTATAAACACAGTGGTCGCCGTTTATAGTGATCACTAGGGCTCGAAAGTTATAGGAGTTGCATATTGTTCTGCACTTGTATGCACTCGATTTATAGCACACCAAGCTAGAAATCCGAGCTATACAATATTGAGTTTAAAAATTGAAAATGTATATTTTGCATATTTCGTTCATTTTAGAGAAAAAGTGCATATTTCGTCGATTTTCATTTATTTTCGCATATTTGTATGCATATTTAATGTTTCCTAAAAAAAAATTAATTTTTTCATTCTTAACCGATTTATTTTGAATAATGTTACATAATACAACGCTAATAACGCGGAAAATGTGCGTCATATAAAACTCAATATTATTTTTCGTGGTTATTTGTTATTATTTTTTAATGTCTACAATGAATTTAACAAAAATATTGATGGTTCAATGCAGTAATTTAACAGGTATTATACAACATATATTTATTTCGTATTTCACAAATAATGAAAATATATTTGTTTAACTATTTTATGAGTTCAATAAAAACTCAAACGCCAACCGATTTACGCCATATTTTAGTTTTCAATAATACAATTTTTTTAACTATAGGTTTTTAAAATTTATTAATTAACTAAATAAATATTTTTTTTTTGCATATTTCACATTTTTTTCATGCATATTTTATCATTTTTTCGTACATATTTGCATGCATATTTTGCCTTTTTTGGCTTCTATGACTTCCGAACCCTAGTGATCACATTCGTTCAAGAGTACTTTGAACACTATAACCGGAAATCACTATAAGCGCCGACTCGAAAAACAGGTACGTAGAAAATAACGTAAAAATAATTAAATATTTATATTTTCTACTTTGTAATTCGGAGCACTCACTTATTTTGTTACGGAATTTCAATAACTTGTTCAATGTTGATTGCGGAATGTCCAATTTTTGTACAGCTAATCTCTAATTTATTTTCTCGCGAAGTTTTTTTTCACTAATTGAAAGCGCGCTCCTACTAGCCATAATACAGTATAATATACACTAGACATACAGTCAGTGACGCATTTAAGGGGGGGTGAAAGGGGCAAATGCCCCGGGCGGTAAATTTTTGGGAGCTGCAAAATATTCTAACTTTTATTATTGATGTGTTTATGAATTTTTTTAATTTTCACACCTTTTTCGGTATTGTTTAGTATTTTAAAAAAATATTGTTGAGCATTTAATAAAAAATTAAAAAAATTATACTATACCTAGTCACCTAGGTAATAGTGAAATAGCAAAATAGGTATATTGCATTTATTATTCAATATTATATTTTCTATCAATGTTTATAATAAAGACTCGGGTACACAGAACGTGGTATTCACTTTAGAGCACATTTAAGAATTTTACAATAGAAGTAAAATTGTACCTAAAAGTGTTCAATGTATGTTAGCATTTATAAAAGTGAAAAGTTTTGTCGAAGTATATCCTTATATTGATATTGCTCTAAGGATGCTAATATATATATATGTGTGTGTGTGTGTGTGTGTGTGTGTGTGTGTGTGTGTGTGTGTGT